ACTGTTCTTTGACCAATGCATTCAAGCTCTGAACTTAGCAGCTATGTTATATTAGCCAAGGCTCATTAGAAAGACATTTCTTCTGCTTATTAATTGCAGTAAGATAAATTCTCATAAATCAGACCGTTGCTTGGAAATTTTGCTGCTGATAGTGCAGAAAAGTTTGACATAGGCTGTGTTCAGATGGGCAGTTTCATTTGTTGCTGTTACTGTTCCTTTACGAATGTAAAGTGCACGGTCAGACAGCAACATCTGTCTGTTGTGACGCAGTCATCTGAGTCCCCTCCCTCTTGCTGCGTGTTTCTTTGATACCTGAGAAAGTCCGGTCCTGTTAATCTGAGCTGGTTCCAAAATGGATTGCTTGCTGCACACCCAAGTCATCAGGCAGGTCTGACTGGTCTCTTGTTTTCCAGCTGCCATTTTGTTTTACTAGTTAGCGAGGAACACATAACTGCATATACAAACCTTTCTCTCTCAAACACCCCCAATGGGGCTGCTCAAAACTTTGTTTTCTTTCTAAAAACTCTCAAAGAAAGACAGCTTTTTCCTGTCGTTTGGGGAATGGGTAAACTGAAAAGATTAGAGGGAGGATGGCAGTGAACTCCATATCCCAGCAGTCTCAGTAAGTGCTTGGACACATGCTCAGATGGCAAACTTTTTTAAAAAATGGTCAATAGCCCCATGAACTACATATCCCAGCAGCCTGATCAGTGCTTGTGGGCATGCTCCAAGGACAAACTTTTTTTTAAAAAATGGCTGACGGACTGACTCCCTGACTGATGCCATTTGAGCATGTAAAAGCGCTTTGAAGAGTGCTAAAAAGGGTGAGTCTGATCATGACAAAATAATCTGGCTCAATTAGAGGTGGGGCAACAGTGGATTGAACTGCCCATCTGAATGCAGTCATAGTCATACACTACTGAAGCAGAGCAGAAGACACTTTTTCGTGGTTTTATACCATGCTTCCATCACACTGTTTGAAAAATTGAAATCACATGGGCAGGGCTAGCCATGCAGGTCTTGTTATGCGCTTGCTTCCTCCTCTTCTTGACTGGCAACAGTCAGGAGAGAGTTATTTGCATGCTTCCACCCATTCCAGATGTCATGGTACAAAACCACAGAAAATACAGCTGTATCAAATATGAGATTGGCACATTGCCGGCTTTAGACAAGGGGATGGATACACTGGCCTTTTCCACAATAGTTTGAGCTACAGTGTACCCTTGTGGAAAGAAAGCATAACGTTTAAGGCCTTGCCTTATGGGACAGAATAGAATAGAATAGAACAGAACAAGAAGTGGGACCCACGATACTCGCAGGGGGAGTATTCCCCACAGCTCCCAGCCTGCAGAAGCAGGAGGAGGAAGCGGCAGCAGGTGAGCTCAGGAGGCGGGCCCACCAGGCCCAACAAGCCCTCTTCCTTCTCCCCCTCCCCCAGCACTGGTGGCAAGGCCTGAGTGGCCCACAGCCACCAAGTCTTTTCCCACACACCCCTCCCCAGTGGTGGCAGCAGCAGCGAGGCCTGAGTGGCCCACAGCCACCAGACCACCAATCCTCTCGGCGATGGCAGCAGCAGCAAGACAGTTGCCAGGGCGTTCTCTGCGCATGCGCAGGGAAAGCTTTTTTACTTTTAGGGGGATTTAAGTATCCCCTGTATAGTTTTTTTAACTTTTCAGATTTTTTTGCACACCTGGGGACTGCCCCAAGTGTGCAGGAAAATCTCTCTGCCGCCTATGTGCCCCCAATGTGCGGATTTAGATATCCGCACAGAGGGGGCCTCTTGGCCATTAGTATATAGATAGTATATAGATATAACAACAATTTACAGTAGCACATACTATTAGGGAACCACAACAATAACAACATAATTACAAAAAACACAAGAGCAGTAAAACCAAACCGGTATTCAATTTATAGCTATAACCTTCAAATGATCAGGAAGTGCCTTTTTAAGCTTACTATGTCTTTCCGTACATTCAAGAAAAGGGAACCAACATTCCAAATAATCTTGAATGAAACTCCACATTCTCCGCCAAGGAAATAACGCCTGATATTTTCTCCATGACCAGGTATTCCCATAACTTATTAAACCACATATCCGATGAGGGCTGTACACTATTTTTCCAATGCCTAGCCACTAAAGTCTTGGCTGCCAGCAACATATGAGAGATGAGATCTTTCCCGATGGCAGAGCTAGTTTCCAAGGGTGTCACTGCCAACTCAACAAAACCATTAGATGCGAGTCCATTAGCACTTTAGGGACCAACAAGAGTTTCAGGGTGTAAACGTCTGAGAACCTTTCATCAGACACGAGTGGAAACGGAGATCTCTCTGGAAGGCTGAAAATCTGTTTGGTCTCTAAGGTGCTACTGGAGTTGAATCTGTTCTACTGCGGCTACCCACCTGAAACCACTCATCAAAGTTAACCTTGTAACACAGCAAGCTGAGGGCAGGTGGGTATAATTTTTACTGGTCATCTTCTGACATAGCTTTAAGAACAGGCCCCCATTCGTTTATTTCCCCCACCCCCCTAGAAAGCCAGTTTGGTGTAGTGGTTAAGAGTGGCAGGTTATAATCTGGGCAGCTGGGTTCAATTCCCAGCTGGGTGACCTTGGGCCAGTCACAGTTCTCTCTGAGCTCTCTCAGCCCCTAAAAACAAGTCTAGCTCACCATGAGCATGACACTAAGAGCTAGAAGAAGAAGAAGAAGAAGAGGAGATTGGATTTATACCCCGCCCTTCACTTGGGAGTCTCAGAGCGGCTTACAAACTCCTTTCCCTTCCCCTCCCCACAACAGGCGCCCTGTGAGGTGGGTGGGGCTGAGAGAGCTCTGACACAAACTGCTCTTTTTCAAGGACAGCTGTGCCAGAGCTTGCGACTGACCCAAGGTCACATCAGCAGGTGCGAGTGGAGGAGTGGGGAATCAAACCCGGTTCTCCCAGATTAGAGTCCGCGCACTTAACCACTACACCGAACTGGCTCTTGCAGCTGCTCCATAAAAGCTTATTTTAGAATAAAATGTCGTTACTCTTAGCTTTGCCAGAGACCCTACGGGGGAGGGCGGGGTATAAATTTGAATAATAAATAAATAAATAAATTTATTCCCCCTGCCAAAAACACCCTGAACTTGAGCATTTATTTATTTTTTATATTACTGACATTAATTTTTTGGAAGGGGTGTCCAAAAATCATTCATTAACATTTATTTATTTTTTGGGTCCAATCAGTAGACCATCCAACCATAACGTCCCTGCAACGTCGCCACTAAGAACAGCACAGCCGTAAACTTCCAACACAACACGGATGTCCTGTCTGGAAACAAACCCTCCTTTATTTAAATAAAAGGCGGGGAGGGGGGGGGACCCGTCAAAGGACGCATGCGCAAACCTCTGGAAGACGCCGGAGTCCTGGGCTGCCCTCAGTACCCAGCCAATCAGCGGGACTCCGGCCAGCAGCTTAATGTTCTTCAGCGGGATCCCTTTGCTGCCCCCGCGGGCCAAGATGAGCGCCGCCATATGCGCGGAAGGCCGCGCTGCGTCTCCGGTCTGCCGGGAAAGCCCGGCAGCGGTAGAGGAAGAAGACGGTCTATCGGCAGTCGCCATCCTTCTCTCAAAGAAACGAGCATTTCCCTCACTGTCACGTCTAGGACGCGCCTCCTCACGTACAGTTCGCGGAGCGCCACCGAAGGGCATGCTGGAAGATGTAGTTTTCCTTGGGTGGTTTGAGATCGCCGTCCTTTGCGCCGTTGTTTGGAAACGGCGGTCGTCTCTTGGTGGTTGGTGATGGGAAATGTAGTTTTCTTGAAGCGAACAACGCGGGGGGGGGGGAGGCAGTGTCCCCCGATGAGTGATGGGAAATGTAGTTCTACTGGTGGCTCATTTAAGGAGAGGGATTAATATATAAAATTAGGGTAGCTAGATGAAACCAAAGGTCTATATGGATTCTGTTTACACCACCGGCTAGTCAGATGCTTATGGGAAGCTGAGGGCATGAAGCTAGCAGGTCCCACTTTGTTGGTTTATATCTGGCAGACTGTGTTTGAACATTGAAGAAGAGGAGGAGGAGGAGATTGGATTTATATCCTGCCTTTCGCCTAACAACAAAGCTAGTGGAGGTGATGGTATTCCAGCTGAGCTATTCAAAGTCTTAGAAGATGATGCTGTTAAAGTTCTGCACTCCATTTGCCAGCAAATTTGGAAAACGCAACAGTGGCCACAGGATTGGAAAAGGTCAGTATACATTCCAATCCCAAAGAAGGGCAATGCCAAGGAATGTTCAAACTATCGCACAATTGCACTCATATCACACGCTAGCAAGGTCATGCTCAAGATCCTACAAGCTAGGCTTCAACAGTACGTGGATAGAGAACTACCAGAAGTACAAGCTGGGTTTCGAAGAGGTAGAGGAACGAGAGATCATATTGCCAACATTCGCTGGATTATGGAGAAAGCAAGAGAGTACCAGAAAAATATCTACTTCTGCTTCATTGACTATGCTAAAGCCTTTGACTGTGTGGATCACAACAAACTATGGCAGGTCCTTAAAGAGATGGGAGTACCAGACCACCTCACATGTCTCTTGAGAAACCTGTATAAGGGCCAAGAAGCGACAGTTAGAACCGGATATGGAACAACTGATTGGTTCAGCATAGGAAAAGGAGTACGACAAGGATGTATACTGTCACCTTGCTTATTTAATATATATGCAGAGTACATCATGCGAAATGCTGGCCTGGATGAATCACAAGCGGGAATTAAGATTGCTGGGGAAAAGATCAACAACCTCAGATATGCAGATGATACCACTCTAATGGCTGAAAGTGAAGAGGATCTAAAGAGCCTCTTGCTCAGAGTAAAAGAGGAGAGCGCAAAAGTGGGCTTGAAGCTCAACATCAAAAAAACTAAGATCATGGCATCCGGCCCCATCACTCCTTGGCAAATAGAAGGGGAAGTCGTGGAAGTAGTGACAGACTTCACGTTCCTGGGATCCCAGATCACCGCAGACTGTGACAGCAGTCATGAAATTAAAAGACGCCTGCTCCTTGGGAGGAAAGCGATGGCGAACCTAAACAGCATGATAAAAAGTAGAGACATCACCCTGCCAACAAAAGTCCGCATGGTCAAAGCAATGGTATTCCCAGTAGTCATGTATGGCTGTGAGAGTTGGACTATAAGGAAGGCCGAGCGCCGAAGAATAGATTCTTTTGAACTATGGTGCTGGAGGAGACTCTTGAGAGTCCCTTGGACTGCAAGGAGATCCAATCAGTCAATCCTCAAAGAAATCAACCCTGACTGTTCCCTGGAAGGCCAGATACTGAAGCTGAAGCTCAAATACTTTGGCGACCCAATGAGAAGGGAGCACTCACTGGAGAAGACCCTGATGCTGGGAAAGATTGAAGGTCAAAGAAGACGGGGACGGCAAAGGATGAGATGGTTAGACAGTGTCATAGATGCAACGAACATGAAATTGAGCCAACTTCAGAGGACGGCGGAAGACAGGAAGGCCTGGCGTGATCTGGTCCATGGGGTCGCGAAGAGTTGGACTCGACTGTGCAACTGAACAACAACAACTGTATCTATAAGTTTGAAATCTAGCTTCCTTTCCAATGTATTTGGAAAAGTGTGCCTGCACACGAAAGCTCATACCTTGAATAAACCTTTGTTGGCCTTAAAGGTGCCACTGGACTCTAACTTTGTTCTACTGCTTTAGACCAACACGCCTGACCAGCTGACATCATGGTGTATTTTGCCAAGTTCATAACTATCCAGGTGGAGGAACTTACGTGGTGTTATCTGTTACAGTGACAACTAACACACAGGTCCTGGGAACCCCCACCTCTAGGGTTACCAACCTCATAAATAAAATAAATAAATACATTAAAAAAAAAAGGTTGGGAGCCTAGAATTCTAGAATTATAATTGATCTCCAAACTAAGTTCCCTTGAAGGAAATGGAGCTTTGGAGGGTTGACTCTGTGATGTCACATCTCTGTTGAGCTCCCTCCCCAGGCAACACCTGCAAATCTCCAGGAATTTCCCAAGCTGGTGTTGGCATCCCTCCCATCTCACCTGGTTGCATTCAAGAAGATGGGAAGCAGATCTTGACTCTCTCTAGTGTTCTTCTTGCAATCTTCCTGATCCCCAGCAGAGGGCAGGTGGATCACATGGAACCATTTTATCATCTCTGTGTGCGAAACTAGGCAGTCCCATACAATTGTTTTGCGAACTGAGAGGTGGGGCATTTTACTTTTTCTTGAGTCCTTTCCCAGATCTAAATTCCCCGCTCTGCTGCAATTGCAGCATCTTAATTCTCCTTGTTTGTTCTCTTTACGCTAATAACAGGTGGCAAGGGCTGGGGGGTAGATTAGAGAACATAAGTCATGTTGGATCAGGCCAGTGGTCCATCCGGTCCAACACTCTGTGTCACACAGTGGCCAAAACCCAGGTGCCATCAGGAGGTCCACCAGTGGGGCCAGAACTCCAGAAGCTCTCCGGCTGTTGCCCCCCCAAGGACCAAGAATACAGAGCATCACTGCTCCAGACATAAGCCCTGGTCACACGGGAGGATTTGCCCCACAAGAGGGACGGATCAGGGGCACATCAAGTGGGCGGGTTTGGGAAGAACATAAGAACGTAAGAGAAGTCAATGCTGGATCAGGCCAGTGTCCCATCCAGTCCAACACTCTGTCACACAGTGGCCAAAACCCAGGTGCCTTCAGGAGGTCCACCAGTGGGGCCAGAACTCCAGAAGCCCTCTCCCTCGTGCCCACCCAAGCACCTAGAATACAGAGCATCACTTGCCCCAGACAGAGTGTTCCATCTATACCTTGTGGCTAATAGCCGCTGGTGGACCTCTGCTCCAGATGTATATCCCAAGACAGTCTCATGTCCAGTGGGGAGAACCTTCCAAAGGCCATCCTTTTATGTCTGAATAGGGTTGTCCAACAACCTGGAGGAAAAAAAATCTCCTGCCCCTTTAACAAAGGGTTCTGCGCTGGTGAAGTTTTTCATGGCCTAACTTGGTAAATATCATCCCATTAAGCCTCTGCCAGTTGGGTGTAGTGGTTAAGTGTGCGGACTCTAATCTGGGAGAACCAGGTTTGATTCCCCACTCCTCCATTTGCAGCTGCTGGATGACCTTGTAAATCCAAACAAGGGGGAAAAACTAGCGTCCCAGAGGTCCCAGATATACAAATTCCAGTAGTAGAAACGCCATCAGAAATTGCCAAAATATAAACTGTAT